AACAAAAGATAATTTAAACTTTTGTTATTAATGCATATTTATAATGCAGCTTTGTATAAAGATTTATCATATAGAATTATAAAGATTTTAGATTTGTGAAGAAGAATATATTATATTTTTAATCCATTTCATATCTTGGCTATTCCTTTATTATAATTAGTGAATTGTTCAAAGTTAGGACAATGTATAAATTTATAAATTCATAATAATGAAACAAGTACAGATTATGATTTAGTATTAAGCATTTAGTTATATAATTCTAATTTTACTGATGTTTTTTATTTATTGTGACTAAAGTATATTAAAAAAATATGCTCTTTACTTCTTTTAAAAATAATAGAAAAGAATTTTGATGTACTAATTCACTACAGCCTACAGGATATTTTATTATTCAAAATATAAAATAATCTCTTTGCCCCCTCCCCCCAATTAATATCAATATTAATACAAGAATGGCATAGTTTCAAGACCTAATCACTTGATAAAACTATTATGGTTTTGTTAAGAATAAGTTTAACTTTAACAAATTTTGATTCATAAACAAATGGATTGTATTTTATGAACTAAAGTATACTTCGAATACTCAAGATAAAACATTAGTATCAACTCAAATGTATTAATTCACACAAGTTCATATTAGTCATCACCAGGGCTCGTAAGTTCATGCACTAAAAAATGTATAAATAAGCATGCATTCATGCCCTCAAAATTAGCAAAATATGCATTGAAATATGCACTAAAAAGTTTGAAAATTTGCATTTATAAGCCCTAACATTTTTAAATTATGCACTAAAAATATGCATTATGTAAAACAACCATGGGCAAATTTTAAAATAATAAGAATATATCCATTAATTTAAAAGTGTTTTATTAATTTTAATTTGTATACATTTATTAACCAAAATTAGTAAAATAAAAAAAAAATGAATACTTGTGAAGTTCATAATATGGATAGCTAGGATACTATAGGTAGTCACAGGATAATAAAAATAATTAAAAATACTCTCATTTTGTAAACGGAAAAGTAAATAAAAAACAAGAAACTTTTCAAATATTTGTCTAAAAAATTTTTTTATGAAATAATATGCGCTATCAACTCTAAAAAATCGACTATATGCCAAATATGCCCTAACACCCAAAACATGCAAAAACATGCACTATTAAACTTTATATTATTATTACTACTGTTATGAAACGGATTTGTATCTCAGTTAGCATGTTTTTCGGTGTAGCAGAAAAAACATGCGGATGCATGAACTTACGAGCCCTGGTCATCACAATTCACTATAATATATTAGGTCTCTTGGCAACACTTATATAAACTAGTGGAACTCTGTCACGATCTTGTAGTTGAATTGTTTGACATGTTTCCGTGTTCACCTTCTTCATCACTATTTTGATGTTGGTGTAGTTGGAACTTATTGTAAATTGTAATGATTAATTAAGTTATGTATAATTGATTTAAGTTTTGATTAGAGTGATTTGTGTTTTCAGCTAAATTATTAATGATTATAAATATTGTACTTTTATAATTTAATTATTGTATTATAACTACTTTTAACAGTTTTTGGAATATTAAAAATTGTTTTGTTTCAAAGACAGTAGACTTGTTAAAGAAACAACATTTAATTTTGTAAACATCATGTAAATATCATTTGAGTGGATCGATGGCTTGATTTCAATGAGCCAATTTTAATATTTTTATTTACATTCATTTACATTCACATGAAAATAGATAAACATTTTAAGGACAAATAAGCAACAGGTATGATTATTTTTTTTTTGTAATTTTGTTATAGTTGAGTTTTACAATACAAATTATTTTTCTTAGGTTTAAATATTTAAAAAAGCGAGCTAGTGTATGGCGATCTGCTGATACTCTAATTTTAAAGTAAGTTATGACTATGTTAAATATGATTATAACCTCTTTTAAGGTTACGTGCATTAATACAATTATATGGGGTGTCCCAGATAATATTCATACTGTCAATTTCAAATTTTGATAGTAGGTCAATTCAATTTAATATTCAAGTGAATAATACAACATTTTTTGTTGGTTTTTCGAGAGAACCTAAATTTGCCGTGCTGCTTTAGGCCTAGGAGAGAAAACAAAGTGTGCTGTCCTCTTAAATTACTGTGTATATTTTTAGTTACACATGTCATACATTGTACATTTTTTATTTCAAAAGCTTTCTCTAATAAAATATATTACCCTGGATAAGAATATCCAATGTGTACATAGATAGATTAGAAAAAATCTTTCAATCACATTTAATCTCTTTATCTTAATGTCAGAAACAATTTTTTTTACGAAAACTATACACCTATAATTATAATGTGAATAGTATTATTTAGTTTTAATGCTCTGGATATTATGTAAGGTTTGATTATTGGTTACTAACAACATATATTAAATACATTTTTTTTATGTTTTGTACTGTAGCTACTTCTGTTAATCTAGTAACACATAATATGTTAATAACTGTCTATATTAGTTCTATGATTTTGAAAATTATAACTTTGAATTATCCAATTATCCTACAAAAAATATATTTTACAAAATTGAACATAGATTATTCTAGCCCAAATAGAAAGAAAATAATTTTAATAATTGAATAACATAATCTCATTCTGAAATACATTTCATATTTGACCCTCAGTGTTAGGCACTAGCACAATGCAAATTACAAATTACTTTTATAGTATCGCTGTAGTAATTCCATATTTTATTTAAATTAACACAGTTATGACAAAATTACTTTTGAAAAGTAAAATATAATGAGTAGCTGTTGTTTTGTACATTATTAAAGTGAGTTATGAATGTAGAACGTATGACAACACCTAGAGACTAGTATATTTGAGAAAAAATTAAAAATCAATACATTAATTTAAAATGTTAGATAAAAATCAACAATAATATTAAAGTTTATGTATAACATTTAGTGATTAACAATTTACCTACAATATAAACATTACATGTATAGTGCTATACAGCTATTACTACAGTGCTATTACTAAAAAATTACCATAGGCTATGAGGAAAAGTCGATTGGTTATATATTTTTATCAAAAATAATTTGGTATATTAACTGTTTTATATTATCACCACCTCTTCAGTGGTCCGAGAATTCCAAATATGTTTAAAACGTATACGTGAATTATGTTGCGTCCATACTACTCATAAACCTAAGAAAAGAATTTTCCTATATTCTAAAACGTTCGTAGTTATTATTATTGTCAAGAAAACATCGTTCATTTTCTAAATAAAATAAATTTAAAAATAACCATAAGTCAATCATATTTCATAGGAAAATGATAACACATCTATATTCATACCACATTAAGAGAACGCCATGTACTGTCAACGTCTATAATATCATAATTATAAACAACATACTTAACATGCATATAATTTAAATACAACATAATATACTAAATTTGTATTTAACTATTCCAATTTTGTATGAGTTTAAATATAAGAGTGAATTTTCATATTTTTATCAATTTGAAAGGCAAGAACACAATCTGTGTTTTTAATCTTCAAGTGCTTAAAGATATCTTTTTAATTGGAATATTTTAAGTGCCTACTAATTATTATTTATTACTAATTATTAACTATTTATTCATCATAATAATAGTTTTAACGTTAACATTATAATAAAAATCGTATTTTAAATGGCAATATATTTTTTAATTCTTCTATAACTTGAATGAAATACAAAAGTAATATTTGTTAGTTGTTAATCATCGTTATCAGTGCAGTGTCTGTTTCCAAGAAAAATAATTATTTTTAGTTCAAATAAAGACACTGTTAGACTCCTGCATTCAACAATAACATTGACTATTATTTAACAATAATGATGAACAAGTACCATGTAATAATTTAAAATCTAAAAATGCAGACTTCATTAATAATGTACAATGACGATTGGTAAAAAAATACATGTAATTATAATTTTAAAGACTTATTCTAAACACATACGGTGTTTCTTACAAAACACTGAGATTCAACTAAATTGTATTAATTTTATGTATATTACAGCACACTCCGTAAATCCACCTATGCATAAAGTTTAAGCCTTAATTTTTTTTAGTATTACTTATTAGAAACTAATTTAAGTGAGTAACCAAGCGAGAAAAAAAGTCTAAAAATTAGAATGGATTTAGACGCTATTGTCTATTATTATATTTTTTATTAAGAGTATTTTGGAGGGGGTATTATAACTTATTATATGAAAATGTAAATGTTCCAAACTCAGAAATGAGACCATCTATAGTGTTTTTAAAAACTATTAATATTAACTATTGTCAATATTGTGTGTCAAGTGTCTAAGCAACAAGCAATCCAAACTTAATGCAAAATACAAAAGAAAATTACGAATGTACGAAAACTAAAAATTAACTCCTAATCTTATTCATAATCAGTATTTGGCGTAAAATCCATCCTCCTTTTGTGGACATTTAATAATGACACAGCACTCCCAGGGTTGTTAAATTTCTCAATGACACTAAAATAATTAAAAACTTATGCTGCAATCTGTTTACATTAATGTTAACAATAGTTTATTTTTTTATAAGGTGCACATGCTTACAATGTATGGCAATGTACTGGCACACAATATTAATATTTAAATACATTTTATACTTCCCCTATCATATTATAAACGTGACTGGCAAATATTATACGACTGTAATTACATAATCATAATTTAAAAATATATATTTAAATAAAAACAAAGTAATAAATTAAAATTATGTCAATAAAGTTATATGAATAAGAAATATTTATTTATAAATTACAATTAGGAATTGTATAATTTATATAGGTATACTGTATCAATATCTCAATTCAATATGAATAGGCACAGTCTTTAAAATGTTTAATATTTTAATAAAGATCTTTATAAAATGTTAAAATACACTGAAAAAAATGACCATTCATAAAATAAGCATTGTATAATTGAAATAAATCAGATTTGAAATATATACATTTCACAATAACAACAAATTCTGTACTCTAAAGTTATTTGTAAACGCTAAGGAATAGGTATTAATCTATTTTTAAATGTTTTCACAGTAAAAAATGCAATAAAATAAGTATGTATATTACAATATAACACAAATCAGCGATGTTGACTATTAGTTTTGTTAATAGTTAGATGGCACATTTGCTTTTATTATATTCATAACTAAATTGAATAAAAAATAATTTAAAATCATAGTAATAAAATAGTTTAAGCAATACATGAATATCAAGATACCAAAAGTTCATCGGTAATGATTTAGCTCAAGTATTTAATATAATTTTTTTGCTAAATACATAATTTTAAAAAAAATAAGAGTACACAAACTAATAGTATATTATGTATTACTGTTTAAATTGGATACTTATATTAATGGTTTAAAATATTTTTAATTTAAAATAACATAAACTATAGACTTCAGCAGAGCAACACTATACATCAACTATGATATAAATGCTAAAAACATAAAACTCGGTATACAAATAATATAAAAAAAAAAAGAAATTTGAGGTAAGAGTTTAAACTTTTAACCAACGGTGTTTGTAATTTCTTCATCAGCTTCGTCAGCAAAACTGAAAAAATTGTTAAGGTCTTCATCAAATTCTTCTTTCACGTCTGCGACAGACACTGGTTGTAAGACTGTAAGGTCTTTTGGACTAGGTGCTGTACAATGAATAATATCATTTAAAAATGTAATTTAATTTTAATTTTAATTTTAATTTGTACTTACAAGAAGATTGGTCAACATGTTTTAATGATACATTTGTAGATGTGCAATTTTTCTGTTTTTGACCACCAAGATAAATCTTTTCAAGTAGAACATATTGCTGTCCATCTTCACCTTTTACTGATACAATTTCAGTTCCTCTTGTTAGAATACTTGCGTCCTCCTCAGATTCACCCTCGTTAGTTGAATCGGTATACTGCAATAATTTATCAAAAAAAATTATTTTTCAATTTGATCCATATTCACTTATACATTACTTAAATATATTGGGGTTAAAATTACAACATTCAATTTGGTTCCCTCCCGCCCGTCACACAATGTTTACATGTTATACGAACATGTGCATTGTATGTATAATGCATATATGTGATGTATTAGGTATTTATTTTTGTGTTATTGTTACTTAAGTATGGATTCACGTGATCTCAAATCCAGGAAGAGCTTCTCAACGCAACAATAGCCATGGTAAAGTCTGAACATCAAGTGCAAAGAGAAAGGTGGAAACTCTCCCAACATAAATGATAACTCAAGATTGAGTCAATGGAAACCCTGACCATAGGACACACTCTTGACTAGGCAACACTGACCTCAGAGTGGAAGTACAATGAACTAAATGCAACTTAAAGAATTAAGGGGTTTCGATACAGGGACTCTGCAAATTGCAAATACAGTGATGAACAAAGCATGACAAAAATAATAATTAACTGTCCAAGTGTCCAACAACACAAACCACTACATATGTTTACTCCCCACAATATTGTAGAAGACACCTCATGCTTCATTAAATTATAAATATCAGAACTATCCTTATTAAATTATCACTCCAACACTTAAATAAAACAAATATTGTGACTCATAGACAAAAAACCACTGTCATTATTTCATGTAGACTTAAAGGTACACAGTAAATAAATTATGTAATTAGAATAATACATTTTTAAAGCTCAATTTTCATGTAAAACTCCATTGAGTAATGACTTGTCACAATGATGCCATTAAGTCAGGCTTGTAAAAACAAAGCAATACTATGGTAATTTGACATTGTTCACAAAATGTTTTAATGAGCCATAATTTACTACGATTTTAATAGACTAAAGTAGTTAATAGGAATATTAGCTAATATTCTGTAGACCAATCACTACTTTACTATTATGGACAACATTTTATAAGAATTCTACTACAAAATTAACAACAAATATCATGCATATAATACTAATTAATAAAGTATACATTATTTTAAAAAAAGGAGTTATATAATAAATTCGAAAATATAATACCTCTAGTCTTTGTTTTAATGCAGTATTTCTATAATTTCCAGTTGATTGCCGCATATGAATTTCCATATGTCTTACTAAATTTCCTTTATGTCTAAATGATTTTCTGCATGAATTACAATGATAAGTTTTCTCGTGTGGTTGAGGTGGAACATAAGCTGGATTATGATGCAAATTATGGTGGCGGCGTAATAACTGTTTTTGTCTAAATGCCTAGACAGAACAAAATAATAAGTACAGATGTGAATGTATAGTATTAATTATTTATATAATTAAAAATAATTCACCTGATCACATTGATCACATTGGAATGGTTTTTTATCTGAATGTACAAACATATGAGTTTGAAGATGACGTTCAGTTGTGGAAGCATAAGAACACAATTTACATTTAAAACATTTTTCCCCTTTGTGTGAAAGACAATGAACCTATAGTATATATGCTTATTAGATAATATATTAATGGAAAATGCATACTTCAATACCTTAAACTGGTAACGATCAGGGAATGCCTTACCACATCGGTTGCACAAAATAGGTTTATCTGAAGTATGAAGCTTTTGTACATGAATACGTAAATCAGTTTTGCGACCACAAGTGACTGGACAATGGTCACATTTAAATACGGGTTTTGCACCTATAACTTACAAATTCAATCATTTATGTATTCTAAAATATTAATAAGTTAAAAAATAAAATTTACCGCTATGTATTAATCGGTGTGTTTTTAAACTGTTAGATTGGGTAAACTTAGTTAAGCAAATATCACACTCATATGGTTTCTCACCAGTGTGGATACGTAAATGGCGTTTCAATTTAAATTTATCAGGACTTCCATAAGAACAATGGGGACACTAAAAAATACAAAAATATTAACATCTAGTTATAAAGGAATATAGTGTTTACTAGTAAATACTTGGTATGGTCTTTCACCAGTATGGCATCTCATGTGATTTTTCATTTTGCTCACTTCTACACTTGCATAGTCACATAACGTACATTTATGTGGTTTTTCATGAGTATGCTTATATCGATTATGTCTAACAAGTTCTCCTGTAATATAGATAAATATATAAATGTTTTATAAGAAAAACAAATTATTTTAAACAAAAATATAATAGTTAATACCATTAATTATAAATCCCATAGATTGCTCACTGGCAGGTTTTTCGGTGGCGTACAATATTACTTTCGGTAGACGGCAATACAAACAAACAGCATTAAAAAAATTTTAATTTTATTGCAGCTATAGGTATTATGGCTGAGTGCGGTGTTTTGGAACAATATCATTGTTTATTACTTAATAATTTATGACTGTATACACAAAAAAAAGTATAGTTCTAGTATATCTAGTCATCGGTTTTCTATATTTGACCTAAGTCCCCAGACACCAATTGTGTCACCAAAAACTAAAACATAGATCACAATTGATTGATTTACTTACTCCTCCAAAAAAGTTCAAAAACAATAAAAGTACTAAATCAGATTACTATTCTACTTTTCTTAACACTGATTTTTAAACAATGTAAGAAGGATAATTGTAACATACATTTAAAAAACATATCCAAAATGTTGCAAAATTACGCATTCTTTAAAATAAGTAACTATCACAAATAATTTGATATTTGTGTGATATATTATAAAATGTTGAAAATTAATAATTATTTATTTAAGTCAAGTTTTTATGTTTTTTTTAACGCTAAAAGAACTTTTATTTAGATTATTAATCATGTCATACTTAATACTTATTACACCAATTATTAATTAATTATATTTGTTTAGGCAGTGGATACATTATTATTTTAAGTTTTTATTAGTCACCTTTATCACCTAGCTATTATTAAAAAAGTGAGACAGTTAAAATATAAACTGTCAATTATAGTCCATTTTGATTACCTATTATACTGTATCATTGAATAAGTAAACTAGTGACGACCTAGCGCATAGCAGATCTCAAGTACACAATTGTCAAACGTATACTCTATGGTATTACTGTAATGAGCTAACTATATAGTGTAAAATGAATATACAAGTTATATGGGGAGCCGATTATGAACTGATGTACCTCTACAGAATAAACTATGCAGCATGCCTACACCTACCAAGCGACGTGACTACTATTTTATAGCGTTTACAATATTATCTGATTTAACTGTCTACGCGTCCGCAGCGCCTTGTAGTGACACCCAATTATTACCACGCCACCGAAAAACCTGCAAGTGAGAAATCTATAGTATTTATAATCAATGTTAATAATTAGGGCTAAGAACTAATACATTTGCATACCTGATGTAGTAAAAGAACTCGAACAACTTCGACAATTAAATGGTTTTGTTCCAGTATGAGTATTAACATGATTTTGCAAAGAAGCTTGAGTTTTGAAACCACGTGCACAAATATCACACTGATATGGACGTTCTTTAGAATGAGATTTCATATGACGAGTCAACAAATATCTAAAACAAATAAAAAATTAAAATATAATAGAAATATTTGGTGATAAGTACAAAATTAATAGTAATTAATGAATGCATTAAACAAAAAATAATAAACTTAAGACATTTGAAACTCGATAAGAACCAATAGAAGAAAATATAAATTACCTTTTTTTAGAAGAATAATTACAATAATCACACACATGTACTTGAGGAGTGACAGTCCCTGATTTTTTAGGTACTAATTTATGTATTTTAGTTTTTTCATCTTCTACTTTTGAATCCTAAATATACATTTTATTAGTAATAATAATATATAAATAAAGATGATTAATTTTTTTTTTGTATAAACTTGCTTCAATTTTTTGTTTTTTTGGTAGAGTTGGATCTTTTCCATCATTTAAATTATATGCATTTTTAACATTAGGATCATAGTCTCCCTGAGATATCTCTAGGCTAACATTTGACATTTCCTCATTTTTGTCATTTTGTTTGACCACATAAAGAACATAATTATTGGCATCAGTTTCAGATTGAATGAGAGTGACGGTTTGATATCCATTACCAGATCCTAAAGCAACAATCTAAAATTTCAAACATTTTACTACCACTAATATTCACTATTTATAATAATTATAATTTACTTGAGGGATATCTTTATTAATTTCATCTTGTGCATAAGGCAGAGCAATTTGAGTTAAGTTGTCTGTATGGCTTTGATTTGTATTATCCAGCATTTGTAATTCATGGTCTGGATGTCCTAAAATTAAAATTAGTTTAAAAAAAAAATATTTTTAAAATTCAATAGTTTTGATGTTAACTTGCCTTCAACCATAACTACATGGCCATCTCTTGCAGTTGTGTGATAATAACATTGCGCATTTTGATCGATGAGATGTGCAGGTTCTACAAAGTTTCCATTTAAATTCATAATTTTTATTAAAATATAAAATAAACTTTTAAGTAAAAATAATACTTACCAGCTTGTACTTGTGTTACTTCATTTCCTTCAATTTCTGTATTAAATGAATCCAAGTAATTTTGTAAATCTGTTATAGTTTCTTCGGTGTCAGATATTGAAAGCTGATGCTCTAACTTAATGAGATTCTCATCAAAACTCACTGAATCATCAGATGATCCTCCATCTAACTCTAAAAAACAATGGATAAGTTAAAGGTGGCAAATGGGCGCCAGTCACATATTTGAGGGTCATGAGTTTGAATTTAAAACAAAACTGAAATTTGAACATGGTACAATATCTCACATAGAAAATTAGTTTTTTATGTCTGCTTATAGAGTAAATAACTTGATTATTCATTAATAAACTTAACACATTCACGGACCTTTAACTTTTAATAAAATAATATTTACCCTCCTCAGAAAATTACTCAGATTAATGAAAATATGACAAAAAATTACTCTAAAATAAAATGCTATATTAATTTTTGCCCAAATATATGAATAAACTTAACAGGTCAGTCACATTTCTATTTTTATATTAAACCTTCTGAAAATATAACTGCATAAGCAGTAATGCCCGATTTAAATCAAATTAGTCGTTGTTTTTTAAATTTCTTTTAAAAGTCTAATTTAATACAGATAATAGTATCGATACATTAACAAGTGATATACATGGTTAATTCATAGGTGTCAATATTTTATCCATCCATCTAACTATAGGTATATATGTGAAATCTATTTCTTGAAAAAAGCTTATCTCAGAAACTACTCACCCAATTGTCATGAGGATTGTTTTTAAATTTAAGAATGGACTATTTTATTAAGTTCAGTGAAAAATTATTTTAATATTATTATACTGTGTGAAACATGGCTTTTATATGATTATGAATTTAAATTAAATGGTTACAAAACTATAAATTCATTAGGAACTTTAAATAAGAAAATAAATATTGTGTTACTGTCTTAATTAGAGAATTAATAAATATATTAAAAATTGAAAAACAGGTCTTATTAAATTGTAATTCAATACAACTCATAATTAAAATAAATGAATTAATATTTTCACTAATATGCACATACAGATCGCCAAACGATAACTTGGAATATGTTCTTACAGGCTGTTGGGGCGTTGCCTACTTATATAGTATTAATGTAATTTAGGGTAACTCCAATAATATAATAAAAGCATTAAGTAAATAAGTGGACTGTATAATTAAATATTAAAAATATCACACTAGTAATAAACAATATAATAGTATTCGCCAGTTTGGCAATATAACAAATAAGTATAATACTGAATAATATAAAATAACAAACAATGTAACAACAGTATCAAATATATATAACCAACTAAAAGGCAACAATATATGACAAATAAGTATAATAATAAAAATATAACTATGTGGTGCACCACATACCTTAATATGATTATGATGGCATGTGGTGCCCAGATCCGTATATAATAATTTTAAGTTACAATAAAAATAACAGGTTGATCTGGCACACTCACATGACACCGCTAAACATATCACGAATAATCAAATAATAAGACTGCAGCCAAATCGTACAAAAGGACAAAACCACGAGTTGATCACCAACGATGAATATTATAAAAAGGACCTCCTGCAAAATATAACAATATTTAATGACCGCAACAGAAGGTGACCGCAACAGAAGATGACCGAACAATACGTACCAAATATGAGAAAACCGTCATTCACCGAATAATAGACAAACCATGTGGATATGATGAGGAACAATGGACGCATATAACCAAAAACAGAGAAAGATATACTGAGCAGTCAGCACACAACTTGCTGTTTCGAGAGCACCGAAAGAAAAAAAAGAAAAATGGTACAACAGACCATTAGGAATATAAAATAATAATATGAACATAGGAACGATATTCAGTGCCATACACACAATTATATAAAAACAAGCAATCATTGTACATTTGCTGGCATTGATACAATGACTGCACCATAGAATAATAAATATAGTACCCAAAAATAGCTAAATAAAATTACATAATAATAACAGAATAATAGTGATAATCAATGCTGATCATAGCTAACAGCTTGTGAGTGTGAACACAGGCATAGACCTTTTCTTATCACAAATAAATAAATAACATATAAGTATTATTAGTGGAGACATCAATATTAATATAATGAAAAATACAAATATTAGTAATGATTATTTAAATATTATGGCGAGAAATGGATTTTTACCTTGTATAAATAGTCACTGGTGATTAATCAGATTCACACGAAAACTTGCATTGATCATATTTTCATTAATAACATAGATTCTAATAAAATTAATTCATATATTTTAAGGAGCGATATAACAGATCACTATGCTACAATTTTGACATTATCCAATATTAATAACAACGAAAGTTACAATCATAATAACAATTTTTCAAATAAAATAGACTTTAAGCATCTAAATTTATTAATTCAAAACTAAAGATTGGTATGCTCATTTGAACAGTGACAATGTAGATATTGTTATGGTTGAAATTTTCAATACTAAAATAAATGAAATTATAAAATACTCATCTATATCTAAAAATAATAATTACAAATAAAATAAAATGTGCAAATTAAAAGAATGAATTACAACTGGTATCGTTATCTCTATTAGAAATAGAGAAAAATTATCTGCTAAAATAAGATCCAGACCTTTTGATATTAAATTAAAGCAATACTATAAATTGTATAGAAATATATTAAATAAAATTGTACGACAATCTAAGCAATTATTTTATCAAAATAAATTAAAACACAATAGGTCTTGATTCTAAATTAGTTTGGAGTATAATAAATGAGGTCATTGGAAAACCGAACCAGATTAAGAATAATATCAACATGATAAGGAATAAAGCTGGTATTAATATAAACCAAACAAATGAGATATGTAATGAACTAAATGATTTTTTTGTCAATGTAGGAAAAAATTTAGAAGTAGAACAACTAAATCAATATAAATTATTTCCTAATGAGAATAACTATATTATTAATGATAGTATATTTTTAAAACCTATTGATAAAGGCGAAATTAGTAAGCTCCTTAATCAAATTAAAAATTATAATTTATATTTTGAAAATGATCTAACGAATTATATACTCAAAAATGTTTCAAATTCTATTTCTTTTCCCTTATCAATTATCTTCAATAAATCTTTAATAACTGGTATCTACCCTAAAACATTTAAAAAATGCATTGTGATACCTTTATTCAAATCGGGTGATAAATTATTATGCAGTAATTACGGACCAATCTCATTATTTTTAACCTTATCAAAAGTCCTTGAGAAATGTATTAAATTTAGAGTAATTGACTTCTTAGAAAAAAAAATCTTTTTTTTCAAAATCGCGATTTGGTTTTAGATCTGGCTTATCTACTGATGCTCTGTACAAAGTTGATAATTTTGTTAGAAGTAGCTTAGATAAAAGCAATCAAGTTATGGGTATTTTTTTGGATGTGCAAAAAGCTTTTGATTGTGTAAACCATGAACTACTACTAAAAAAATTAGAAAATTCTGGAATACGTGGAGATCAAATAATCTATTTAAATCTTTTCTGAGGGGTAGGACTCAAAAAGTTAAATGTCATGAATATTCTAGTGAAGATCTAAATGCGACTTGTGGTGTACCTCAAGGCACTGTTCTAGGTCCCTTATTATTTATCATATTTATAAACGATCTACTAAAACTGAAAATAAATCATAATACAGAATTATTAAGCTTCGCTGATGATACAGCTATTTTGTTATCGGAACTAACTGTTGATAAACTATACAATGAAGCAAATACAATTGTAATTACTGTTTATGCTTGGTTCTGTAAAAATAAATAATCATCAAATACATCAATACATTAATACAAAATTACCTAATAGTACATTCTTTAAAATGTAATAAAACTACAAATACAGTTTGTGATCCTAAATGTATTATACTAGAAAAAGTACAGGAAGTAAAATATTTATGGATAATTATTGATTATAGATTTAAATGGGAAAGTCATATAAATTATTTAAATAACATGCTATGCAAATTCTTCAATTTCTTCAAAGATGCAAGGTATGTATTTAATAAATACTATAAAAGAATAATTTTCTTATCACTAGTACAATCAATTTATACTTACGGTATATCAATTTGGGGTGGAGCCTCAAAGTATATTTTAACAAAACTTATTGTCACTATAAATTGTATTATAAAATTCTTACTAAATTTACTAATGAATACTAGCACTGAATTGATTTATAATGAATTTAATGTAAAAAATATTAATTTTAACTATAACTTATCGGTTCTAGTTGTATATATAAAAATAAAAATTTAATTCCAACATTAGATCATGAGCATAACACTAGATATAAGCAAAATATTAATAAACTTAACCAAATCTTAACAAAATATTTGGTCAAAGAAGCATTTTAGGTATATACGGGTTTATATTTATGTTGTTCACTAAATATCAATATAAAAAATTATAAAGATGTTAAACATTTCAAAAAATATATAAAACAATTAAATTTATCAAATTTGTAAATTGTATTGCTTTTAAAAATATCACCAGTTATTTATGTAAAATATTATTATTGTTATTATTATTGTACATTTATAATATTTATTTTCCTCTCTTCGTACTTATGTTTTAATTATCAATTATCAATTATCAATTATTTAACACGTTGACCGCCACGGCGTTTTTCACTTTGTTACTTAAATTTGCTACGAGATCAAATTCTAAATCTCAACAAATTACTAAAAGTTGGTTGTGAGATCTTATGTTGAATCTCACTTATACAAATTTTCTATCGATGAGAACTCGTGTTAGGTCTCAATAATCGGTATTTTCTCGTCGGATTCTAATTCTACAGTGTTGCCACTTTCAGATGGTGTTTGTAGCTTGACAATACCATATTTAGTTTTTTTTATCAATATTTTAAAATCATTGATAATGCAACGTTTGATACGTTGTTATTGGTAACTAAACGTATAAACTTTTTACTTTATTTATCTGATTATCAAAATTGAATGTTTAATGTGTTTTTGCCGTTAAGGTAACGGATTTATGAAGTTTTTTTTATGTAATTTGTGACAAATAAACAAAATGAATGACGAGAGTATAACTGAAATGTTAGAATCTTCATTTGAATCATTTGACTATAGTTCAGACGATTGTGACAATGACCCCAATTGGGATCAAAATGCTGAAAACATGTCTACAAGTAAGTTATTTCACCTGCAGCTTAATGTACTTTGATCTAACTTACATATGATTTTTAAATGTTTCGAATAGGTAGTACTTCTAGTAAACAAAATTTCAATGATGATGTCAGACATGTGAACATGTCTATAGATGGTAATATATTTTGCTTGAAATTGTCTATTTTCTATTTATAATTAATAATAAAATACATTTTAGAAATTGAATTATCTGGAGTAGATGCAATTGCTTACAGTGATGAAAATGATGATCCAAATTTTGGTAAATAATAAACAAAAATGTGCATTATTAAAAAAAAAATGTTTAAAATTATTTTTTTTATATTAGATTTGGTATCTCATATAAGTGCTTCATCTGATAATGGTTCTACTACAAATTATCCTGGACCAGGACGTCCAAGGATTCATCCTAAGGTAAATGTCAATGATCGTCGTCAATGGAGAGCAGACGACAATGTTATTGACGATTTTATTTTTGATGCTGATAAGACAAATTCAGGTATAAATCCAGATTTATTTGACACTCTTATGCATGGATCACCGCTTGATTTTTATTTGCTTATTGTGAATGATGAAATAATAAATAAAATAGTTATTGAAACAAATAGATTCGCTGCACAGCAAAAAGCTTCTAAGATAAATTCACCTTTCTCTCGTATTAATAAATGGTTTGATACAGATATAAAAGAAATAAAACAATTATTTGGGCTTTTGATTTGGACTGGCTTAGTTGTGTTGCCAACATATGAACTGTATTGGAGTTGTTCTGAAATATTTGCTACTAATTTCGGGTCTGTAATGAGCCGAAATCGCTTTGAAATACTAATGCAAATGCTACATTTTTCGGATAATGCTAATGCTGATACAACAAATCGCTTACACAAACTCGGTACCGTTATGGATGATATTATGTCTAATTCTAATTATTGTATGCAGCCAGTAGACAAATTATGTATTGATGAATCTCTTGTCAAATTTATGGGTAGGCTGTCTTTTAAACAATACATCAAAAATAAGAGAGATAGATTTGGAATAAAAGAATTTAAATTATGTATTCCTCCGTGTTACACAATTGCTCTGAAAGTTTATGCTGGAAAAGAAGCTGTTGTTGATGAAAGTGTTGGGACAAAAATTGTTATGACACTAGGAGATCCTTATTTTGACTGTGGAAGAACATTATATGTGGACAATTGGTACTCAAGTGTTGAACTAGCCGAAAAATTAAAAATAAGACAAACACATTTAGTAGGTACAATAAGATCAAACAGAAAATCCAATCCTAAAGAAGTAATAAAAAAAAAGTTAAAAAGAGGAGAGTTTGATTCAATGAGGAGTGACACAAATGTTTTAATATTAAAATGGAAGGATAAAAGAGACTTATATATGATATCCACAAAACATAACAGTGAAATGGTTGAAGAACGTGTAAGGGGTAAAATTGTTAAGAAGCCTAAGGTTGTGATTGACTACAATATAGGAAAGACATCAATTGATCTTTCTGATCAAATGAGTTCTTACTCAAACCCTCTAAGGCGTAGTTTGAAGTGGTACAGAAAAGTAGCTTTAGATGGGCTATTAAATATAGCTGTAGTCAATTCTTTAGTATTATTTAATAAAGTTACATGTTCAAATATGTCGATAACTAATTTCCGTACTTCTCTAGTTGAACAATTAACCAAAAAAGAAAACATTGTCATAAATCCATCTCTCAAACATCAACTACAAAAAACAGGTAAAAGCAGATGTTTCATGTGTTATTCACTAATGTCTTCAGAAAAAGGTAGAAAGTATGCTCAGTCTCATAGTACTAAAGTACAGACTAAATGTCTGGCATGTGATAGATATTATTGTATATTATGTTTTATCAAAGACCACAAAATCACAAAATGATAAAGAATAGTGGTCAACAAATTATAAGCAGTGACACATTATTTACATTGTATCTATACATTTTAANTCAATGATCGTCGTCAATGGAGAGCAGACGACAATGTTATTGACGATTTTATTTTTGATGCTGATAAGACAAATTCAGGTATAAATCCAGATTTATTTGACACTCTTATGCATGGATCACCGCTTGATTTTTATTAATTATTATATACCTATATAAATATATTTTATATTTATTATGCTATAAAAAAAAATACCTATTACTATAATTAAACTGTTTTTGTTATATTTTTATTAATAGTAAGTAATTTGTTGTAACTTATGTTTTTTCATTATTAATGTACATGTGGTTTTTGAATATTATTTTATACTTTAAATAAAAAGTTTTCAAGTTATGTTTTTTGTTTGTAATATCATTTTTATCATAAAAAAGTTACATTTATGCTTTTTATTTTGCAGTTTATAGGATAAAAGCCTACTACCAGAGATTGTTTTCATATTATTATATTGTTCCTTATTGTTCAAATAATGTATTATTTTATAAAATAAATAAATATTTATTTGAGATTTAATGTTAAGTCTCAATTATAGTGATTTTTCATAATGAGATTTAGTTTGAGATCTCAGGCTAATGGTCAAAACATTAATTTTTCAAATGGTGACATCCTACGGCCATGAGATCTAATTTGAGATCTCGGCTTATATTAAGTTATAACATAAAAAAATGTTTTAGGAAAACAATTATGAATATAAGTACAAGTTTTGAATAAAATCAGACAATGTTTTATCCAAAAAAAAATTTGAGTAAACCTATGAAAAACCCCGTGGCGGTGAGGACAAAGTTTGGTGAGATCTCGTACAAGAGCTCATGGCGGTCAACGTGTTAACATAATTATATATTTATAATAATCCTATTCTATTAATTATTTAGTAATCAAAAAAAACATTGTATATATTTATTTAATCTATAAGAACTGTGCCCCCAGCACAAGCTTTGCTAAAAGAGGGTACTGCAATATATTAATCTAAATTTTGTAAAATAATTGTATGATATCCTTATGTTGCAAATATAAGTACTGTTATTATTAATAATGAATATATACATAATTTAATATAAAATGTATAAATTGTTATAATTATTATAAATCACAATTATTAAGACTTAAGGCAGGCCCGTTGCTAGGGCACAACCATCGTCGCTTAACAATGGCATACAATTTTAAAAATATCAAAGGAGAAACAAAATTAAATAAATATTGCAAAGAAAAATCTAGTGCAGCGTTAAAATTTTTTGCTGTAGGTTGGAAAATATTGACGGGTTTGTTTATAGGTACACTATTAGCTATAAATATAATAATATTTTTGATAAATTTCTTCCAATATATTTAGGTATTAAAATTACAGTGGCGAAATAAAGCTGAGAGGCGGGGCTTTAAAGTCTTAACATGCCTGGATGGGTATAGAACAAACGAGTACTCCATAGTCTATTTACACCATTATTAGATTTATAATAATTAAAAGCATCATAATATAAAGTAACTATAAACTTAACTTACCAATAGTTGTTCCTCCGTTTTCAGACATTGTCGAGGTCTTGACAATTTAATACCTATAATCAAACATTCAATGTATTGTTTGGATAATTATATTAAATTATCAGGATGTACCTACATAATAAAATATTTAACACAGCTAACACCGACTATATTATCAAAGAATAATCGTTCGGGAAAAATTGCGGACACATGACCACCAAGGACTGACAATAACGTATTATTGCATTCGACGTTTACAGGTTACTTGAAAAGAGTAATACATTAAAATATCAATTTGGATTGGAAACAACTCGGCCTTCGAATCATACAACACGGTATTTCAAAAATAAAATATACTTAGTCGGGCAAAAAATGAGCAGTATAATCGAGGACGCCACCTGAAGAAGCGTTGGTATGTTATTGAAACGGTAAAAACGACAGAAAAAGTAATAATAAACTATTGTTTATCGCGGTAGCCGTAGAACGGATTACCCGACGGTGCACTCATGCATTAACTCATAACAAAGAACCTACCACGTAATATTATCAAGAGGAATAAAAATTATTGTACGAAATAATATTATGACAATGGTTAGGAATTTGGCGCGATTGCTAAGTGGACTGATAGTGATGCGTTTAACGCCCAGTGGTGGTAGTGAAGAAACGATTTGAACAATTAATATAATATTAATACTATAAGTATTATATAGGTAAGGTGCAAGCAAGTGCGTTAATAGAACAACGATTTTCAAGGATGAAATCGTCGCGCATCGTCACGTATCGGACTCAGACTTCGATACGAGTCGGTACAAAAACGACGAGCAGCGCCGCCAACAAATTGTTTGTCATAATTTATGTATAGATACTATGGAACAAAACTTCCTCGGTCGACAACGACAATGTTAACAGTTCAACGTGCAGATTTGGAAACTGTGGGTTATAATACTAACACAGTAGGATATTTACTTACTTACGTCACTATATGTTATTCGACACTAAAATCCAAATACGGAGAGCCTATGGTTTTTCGTTATCACGCGATGTGACTTCGATATCAATCTATCTGGCAATCACTTGTTTTTTTTTTTCGTACGCAATACGCACATACTGTGTGTCTGTGTTGTCTCTGTCTCACAAATGTACAACATCTTAAAAACTGTTTTACGCTGGACAGAACGGAACTTCCCTACGGCAAGTACGACTCAGAAGCAGAAAGCATAAAAAATCCGAAATTTTGTTTTAGTACACGTATTCTAACAGAACCATACTTCAGTAGACTGTATTTCAGATTTTTAGCAGACAAATTGTTTCGGCCTTTTTATAGCCCCTCCTCAGTAAGACGTGGGACGACATATTATTACGTAAATTCCGTACATCAAATAAAAGTATAAGACCTATATTTCAATGTAATAATAATAATAACAATAAGATTTAAAAAGAAAATATTTAAATACGAATAAACGAATAAATCGAATTATTTTAATGATATCTTATCATAATTCATAGGTCTTACAATAAACTTTCATAGTGACATGTAAGTACTTAATAAGTTTTACATTTTTCAACTTTAAGATACAAATGTTGAGATTTATTTATAAAATCAGCGCTCAAATTTGTTTGGGGGGGGGG